CTATATATTTCTAAATTGATTTAGCTTATTTATGAATTCAATTATTTTACCTTTTACGACAGCGAAATTGATATCGCTTCGTGAACGTGAATCAAGCCTCCATTTTCGTCCCGATTTATCATGGTTTTTGCCTCAAATATATTCAGGAGTCGTTATAAGCTTTTGTGCTGCCTATCGTAGTATTTTGAGAGTTTCATCAGCCTTGTATGTACCTATATGTGCCGCAATTTTTGCCTATCTTGCAATGCACTCACTCGTAAATGGCCGCCATCTTGATTCATTAACTTGAAAGTTTGCTATGCGCAGAAGAGATGCGCAGACGGTGACACTGCCCCTTTAACCCTGATTCAGAAGTCGGAGCGAGTTTAGCCACTCGTTGGACGAATTGGTTCGATGATTTTGAAATGTTTATACTTGCCAGTGGCATCACAGATGAGAAACGCAAACGTGCCTTGCTTCTCTATCAACGGGACAACGCGTCAGAGAAATTTTTCGCCAATTACCGAATACGGGAACAGCAGCGGACTATAAAACTGCTACAGACAAGCTCACGGAGTATTTCGAACCTCAAAAGAATCGTCGTTACGAAGTATACCGGTTCAGACAGGCTACTCAAAAAGCACACGAAACGTTAGATCAGTTTCATACGCGTTTCCGTACGCTCGCCCAAACGTGTTCATTCGCAGACGCAGATTTCGAGATCGAGCAACAAATTGTTACGGCTGGGCCGGCTGGCTCGTCATATAGAATTCGAAAGAAAGTTCTACGTGATCCTACGTACGATCTGAAAGCTATTCTCATTGATGGTAGACGTGATGAGCAAAGTGCTTATCAAGCTCGTGATATTGAGTCGAAAGAGCAGAAAAATGAAGCTATACGAAAACTTCAAGGAACCGCAACGGAATGTCGGAATTGCGGCTGCTTATATCCTCACACGAATAATTGTCAGGCGAAAGGTAAACAATGCAAAAAATGCGGAAAACAGAACCACTTTGCAAAGGTCTGTCGCAGTAAACCTGAACAGAAAGAACACCCCCCTGCAAGTCAAGGAAAACGTTATGAACATAAATTTTAAAAAAAACGTAAAACCTTTAAGAAACATTGAACATGAGAAATACGATACAGAGAGCTCTGATAGTGACGAGAACTATCTGTATGCTGTGACGAATACCACAACACCAAAAGTGAATGTAAAGATATGCCAACATTCCTTTAAAGCTACTGTTGACACAGGCGCGTCAATTAACGTCATTGTTCAAAATACATACGCTAAACTGAAACTGAGTAGAACTTCAACGAACAAGCGTTAAAGCATTTGCGTATAACTCTGCGAAACGCGTGAAATTCATAGGGAAACTCGAAACGATAGTTGAAACTCGGAAACGTATCGTAGTTGCGACATTCTATGTTACTAAGACAACCGACAGCGGTAATCTGATCTCGTTGACAACGGCTCAAGAATTGGGTGTAGATAAAAGGCGGACGGATAAAAAGCGGACGGCGGAGCATTTTAGATACACATGATTACTACGGCAACTAATTATAATACCCTAAATTAAAGTATACCAGCCTTAGATCTGTGAAATGGATATGTTTTCACCCGTTCGAATTTTTAGCAATGGAATTTTTTAATCAGCATTCAATACGTATGTATGATAGGAGGAACTAGGTGAAACTTTTGGAAATTTTGGTGCTTCTGTATATAACTGCCCTAACACTGCCATTGAATTAAAATATTATTAGGCGGGGCTATTACATGACATTCACTTGCTGTCATTTTTATACTTTAAATTGTGCGACTTATAATCCCGTTTTATTTACTAAAAGGCTAACACGTAGCCAAGGTCCATTCATGTGAGTGCTTACACATTACTATTTCACTGTATATAAATGTAGAACGAAATTATAACCTTCCCTAAGCCCTTCAAATATACATATAATAGAATATACAATATTTACGCTGCCCAACTTACGTTGCCCAAGTTGACATTACACATATATACATTTTTCAAACAGCTTGTTACACTGATTACTGTGTGACATTGACATATATATATATATATATATATATATATATATATATATATATATATATATATATATATATATATATATATATATATATATATATATAATATATATTATAACATATCATATTTACATAAATATGTCAGGAAAATATCAATAACTCAATATTGTTAAAGAAATGACAAAAATATACAATTGTAAATATATACAATTGTGAATGTTTGCATGTCCAAACTTTATAAAAAATTCTCTTGAATCACGACCCATAGCCTATACTCAATACCTACTACCTATATGTGCCCACGAAATAAAAAAAATGTTCAAGAGCCTTGAACGGCAGAAAAATATCGAGCAGCATTGGGAGGTTTAAAAAGTTATTGGGCTCAATGAAAATCCACCTCATCAAATTGTCCGCCCCTAATGCATATTATTATATGGCTTTTCAAAATTCTCTATTCTGATTGGTTGACAAGCGCTCCGTAAAAACCCATATCCGGACCGTGGTCCGTATTTTCCGTATGTGGACCGGTGTCCCGGATGTCGTTTATCTGGCGGGAAATTTTTGCTTTGCAAACAGAAAAAAAAATTACTTTTCAAAATTTCCAATTGTGCTTTACAGATAAAAATTTCAAATAACCAAATTGTTTTTGATTGAGCATGCATGCCTACGGTATATATTGTTACCCAGTGAAACTGACGATAGCCGATTTAATTCGCGCGAAAAGCATATGCTCACAGACTCAGTTCAGCCATATAATAAACCGATTATTGACCTCGCTTGTTCGGTCTGTACTGTGATCCATACCATACCATACCATACTACATACCATACAAAACTGTACTACATACCATAAAAACCTCGGTCTGATATTTCACACCTCACGCTCGGTCAATAACCCTTTAATATTTCTAAAATTCATATATAGTATAGTCGTCGCATGCAAATCGGCCATTTCTTCGTGTGAACCTCTTAGGTTTATAATTAAAACGGGGATTATTTTCATTATAAAACAACAAGTCAGCACTATTTAAAGTACGAAAATGTCAACAAGTGAAAATGTCATTTAACTCTGCCTAACAGAAGCTCCAAAACTAAGGCGCTTTTTTACAATATTTCCAAACGTTTCCCGAGAAAGACGCCGTATAGCCATCATACATACGTAATGAATCATTTGAATGCTGATTAAAAAATTCCATTGCTAAAAATTCGAACAGGTGAAAACATATTCATTTAACAGATCTAAGGCTGGTATACTTTAATTTAGGGTATTATAATTAGTTGCGGTAGCAATCATGCGTTTATAAAATGCTCCGCGGTCCGCCGTCCGCGGTCCGCCGTCCGCGGTCCGCGGTCCGCCGTCCGTCCGCCTTTTATCT